AAAGCTGCTTCCATGCGCTGTAGGCATTATTTTTTGCTGGCCTCTGCATGATCCACCACCAGTATCCTGAACTCAATCCCTCAGTTCCCAAAATCGACTCTTCCCTTGTCGCGTCCAATTGACACCTTTCCAAAAGTTGGATTCTTTTTCTTTCTCAAGATTCAAGCATTGCCTATATGTTGTGAGCTGATCAACATAGCCATTCAACAACTTGTTGGAGGGACATCATCTACATCAGAGGTTCAGAGTCTTCAGACTTAACCTCTCTGACATTCTGACATACCTTTCCCTGCACCATTACAGTTTACAAACTTATCCTTGCCCTCTTTTTTTTTTTTTTTTTTTTTTTTTTTTTCCCCCATAAAAGTCCAGGTTGTTGTAGAGGTTGGCAACTAGGCATATGACAGGCCCGTCACCACCTGACCATTTGATCATCCCGATGTATTGCCTAACCGGTCCCCGGCGTAGGGGTGCACCGGGGATCATGATGATACCCTGCGGCATTCTGCATCATTTCCACTCGATCCTTCGGTTCGGAAAATAGGCCCCGGGTCCGTCAGCTTGCCTTTTCAGGAAAACTTGCGCTTCACTCTCGTTTGCGCTTCGTTGCTGTGGATGATGAAGCTTTTCGCGCATTGGAGGATGGCTTCTGCTTACATCCCTGTTTGCTTGCCTGATAAGCTGCTGTCATGCTCTGTTGACAGACTTTGCTGGCCTCTGCATGATCCACCACTAGTATCATGAACTCAATCCCTCGGTTCCCAAAATAGACGCTGGGTCCGTCAGCTTGCCTCTTCAGTTCCACTTGCGCTTCACTCTCGTTTGCGCTTCGTTGCTGTGGATGACGAAGCTTTTCGCGCATTGGAGGACGGCTTCGGCAATCTATTACCGCTCACCCCTGGATCGGTTACATCCCTGTTTGCCTGATAAGCTGCAGCCATGCGCTGTCGACATAATTTGCTGGCCTCTGCATGATCCACCACTGCAGCCCAGGATGAGACACAAGATCAGATCAGTCGACAGTATCGTTTAAACTTTAACGTCACATGCAAAGTCCAAACAAATTAATGCAAATCCGTTCAATCGTTCGACAAGTGAGATGTGAGGTGTGAGATTGGTCCACATATAGTAAGGTTGCACACAAAGTATACTTTGTGAACCCATAATTCATTTGCCGGTTCTGTTCGCCAAAAATGTGATCCGAGATGCGAGATTCATTTGATCACCTATGAGTTCAAACATCAAACGAACGATTACACAAACATCGCGTACGAAGTCGCTTCATGAAATTGTTCGCTCACCGATTGGATGCGAGACAGATCAGATCAATCAGGTGCCTAAGAAGCCGACACGTAAAATGATACTCGCATCGCATACGAAGTAGCCTCGTCACAAGCCCATTCGTCTGCCAAATGAGATGCAAGATCAGATCAGTCGAGGGTGGACGTGCCCTCACAGAACACGATATTAAACCACTGGTACGTTTGCCAGCCATTTTTCCCCGACACGGCTTGCATGCAGCTGCAAGTTTCGGGGGTGGGCGGCCTACCGGCGCAAAATGGCTCGCAGCGCTAGCCAAAAGAAGGCTCTCCCCCATGGTTTATTCTTTTTTTTTGGCGCGCAGAGCGTTTACAGGCTCGGCAAGGGAGAGGGGTCAAAAGTAGTGGTGGTTTACCATCAGATAAAGAATTGCAAAACCCAATTGTTCGCCATAAACATCTGCCCACCAGCAAAAGATCTCCGTAAGGAAAAAAAAAAAAAAAAAAAAAAGCGGACTAAAGATATCATTGAAGCAGAAGCTCCTCAGTGCAGGTAGAGGTTTGAGTTTACTCACCCTGTGCACGTCGAAACGCTGCCACGGGGGATTGTAAAGAAGAGATGATGACACCGGATGCCAAGCACCGATAACAAGTCCACCGGCGATCTCATACGGCGGCTGGGAACCGGGCGCAGACTCCTTTCGGGTTTTGGCCTTTAAGGGGTAGCGTGGCAGTGCACTACTCTCGAAAACTCATGTTTTTGACAGCAGTGTAGAGAGGCCCATATTGCTATCCACTCTGGGCTATACCAGCAGGGCCACATTGCCTCTGACTGGCCCGGGGGACCCAGCCGGGCCAGGTCTGGGCAAAGTCCTGGTCAAGGTCCCGGACAGCTCCAGTGCCAAAAAAAAAAAAAAAAAAAAAAAAAAAAAACCTGCAACAAAAAAACGGAAAACTATGTTACGCAGAGTACACTAATGCTAGTCGATTGGGGGTGGGGGATGATGAAAAGGGATGTGCAGCTAATGGCAAAATGCTCGGTCTTTGGGTTAGCCGTACCCCAACTGGCGGCCCCAACCCTGCACCCTTAACCACTAGGGCAAGGGGCAACATGCAATATCCCCTTCACTGTGAGAGGTAGCTATGCTTGCAGGGGTCCCCTCTACATAACCTTACAGTAGGTAGGAGGCCAAAGAATTTGAGAGAAGAA